TTTTTTTCATTTATTGTTTGTGCTATTCTTCAATTCTCTACTTCAATAATTTCATCTCTGATCTTAATTCTTTCTTTGTACTGGTTTGGAATTGGTCTCATTTTTCTAAGACTCTTGAGGTACAGCATTAGGTCATTCATTTTATTTCTGTTTTGTTTTTATGTAGGCACTCCCTCTTAGAACTTCCCTCTTAGAACTGCCTTTACTATACCCGACGGATTCTTCTATATTGTGATTCTATTCTCATTTGGTTTTTWAAATATTTTTTATTTTTGCATTACAATTCTTAATACACCATTATATCATAATTTATCATATCTCTGATTATATAGAAGRTATGCTGACACCAAATTCACATCTTCATACATGTATTTTGTATAATGATGAGGGTCTCCTTTCATAATCCATGCTATTCCCCTTCTCTCTCCTTTCCCTCCCATCCCTATTCCCTATCTAGAGGTAATCTTCCTCCCTTGCTCTCCCTCCCAACCCCATTTTGAGTCACCCCCCCTTATATTAGAGAAGACATTCGGCATTTGTTCTGGGGGGATTGGCTAACTTAACATAATCTTCTCTAATGCTATCCATTTCCCTGCAAATGCCATGATCTTATTTTTTATTGCTGAGTAATATTCCATTGTGTATAAATGCCACATTTTTTTTTTTACCCATTCATCCACTGAAGGACATCTAGGTTGGCTCCACAGTTTAGCTATTGTGAATTGTGCTGCTATAAACATTGATGTGGCTGTGTCCCTGTAGCATGCTGTTTTTAGGTCCTTTGGGTATAATCCAAGAAGAGGAATAGCTGGGTCAAAATGGTGGTTCCATTCCCATTTGATTATAAGAGTTTTTTAATTTTTCCCCTGATTTCTTTGAAGACCCTGTCAGTCATAATTCAAAAGTCTGAACAATAATTCAATCTCCATGTTTTTGTAGAGTTTCTGTAGCTTTTATTACTGTTGATTTCTATTACATTATGATCTGATAAGAAGCAAGGAATTCTTTTTTTCTATATTTGCTAAAACTTGCTTTGTAGCCTATTATATGATCTATTTTGGAGAAAGTTCTGTGAGCAGTTGAGAAGAGGGTATATTCAGTTGTTGTTAGATGAAATATTCTGAGGATGTCTGTTAAGTAAATTTGATCTAAGGTGTTGCTTTAACTCTGCAGTGTCTTTTTTTTTTAATTTTTAGTCTGAATGACCATTGCTGAGAGTAATGTATTGAATTAGGATCTATATGCTCCTTTATGTTGATTAGTGTTTTATGAAATTGTACCAACGTTTGGGGCACAAATATTTATAACTGTTATATCTTCTTGTTGGATGGTTCTTTTTATCAATAATATAGTGACCTTTGGCTATTTTAATTTTGGCTTGAAGTTTGCTTTTTATGATAAAAAAAAAGCTACCCCCACTTGCTTCCAGATTTCATTTGCATGGAATATAATTTTCCATCCTTTCAATTTCAGTCTGAAAGTAACTTTCCTGGTGAGGTGTGTGTAAACAGACAACATACAGTTGAGTCTTATTTTTTAATCCAATAAGACAGTATATATCTTAATTGGAGAATCAAGACCAWTTACAGTATTACTACAGAAAGGTATGTATACTTCCTGTCATTTTATTTCTAATGCTTTATTTTTTCCTAATTCTCATGCTTATCTACTCTGCTAATGATATTTATCCTTTCCATGCTCACTTGGATGTTTTATCTTCTTATCCTGTGAGCAGGATTCCTTTAAGTATCTTCTTCAATGCTGTCTTAGTGGTCATGAATTTTTTATTTTTAGTTCATGTTTATCTTGGAAGGTTTTTATATTTCCTTATATCCTGAAGGATAACTTTGCAAGATATAGTAATCTGCATTGGCAGTTGCTTCCTTTCATGGTATGATATGCATAGTTCCATGGTCTCCTGTTTAGAGTTCTGAAAAACATGTTAGTCTGATGTGTTTGTCTCCATTGATGCCTTGGCATTTCTCTCTTGCAGCTTTTAAAGTTCCTTCTTTGTTCTGAATTTTTGGCATTTTAACCCTGCTATAATATAGAGAGGTTTCTTTCAAGTCTTGACTATTTGGGATTCTAAATGTCTCCATAACTGAATGTCCATCTCATTTCCAAATTTTGGGAACTTTTATGGCATTATTTCACTGAATAGGTTATCTATGCTATTAACCTATATTCTCTAGTCCTTCCTCAAGACCAATAAATCTTTTTGAGGGGGAAAGGGGACCAGGGATTGAACTCAGGTGTGTTTAATCATTGAGCCACATTTCCAGCACCCCATTTTAAAATACTTTATTTAGAGACAGGGACTCACTAAGTTGCTRAGGCTGGCTTTGAACTCATCATCCTCCTGCCTCAGCCTCCCAAGCCTCTGGGATTACAGGAATGTGCCACTATGCCTGGCAAGGCATGTAAATCTTAAATTACATCTTAGGAAGCAAGGGAAAAGAAAGGGAAGGGAAAAGAAGGGAAGGGAAAGGAAGAGGAGAGGAGCAAGTGGAGAGGAAGGATGGGATAGAAATAAAGTTGAGAAAGAAAAGAAATACTGAAAAGAGTCAATTAATTAAAAATATACATAAAATTAGATGTAAATATGGAAAACAAATGAGAGAAAATAGATCAAAATCATTTACAAAAAAAATGAACTCAGAAAACAAACAAACAAAAGATTAAAATTTCTCCTTACTGAAGCAATTAAAATGTAATTAAAATTAAGCCCTTTTTTCCAGGGCTTCATTTTAGAATCCACCAGCTACAGGTAGGTGTGTTGGATATAATCCGAGTTTGTTCCTCATTAATTCCAACCCAAATAGACAAAATTTATTAGGGGAGTTTGTATGGTGAGCTCCACTCCTCCTTAACAACAGAAAGTCCTAAGAGTATGCTATTCACTGCAAAACTAAATTCACCCTCAGTAGGCCTAGGGACAGGGCATGGCTATAGCAGAACTTCTGACCAACACACTCACCTGCAGATTGATCCTGATTGTGCTGCATTCCATATCTCAAGAGCCTCCATTTGTTTTATGGGGGTAACAAGGGATGGCTAGGGTCTCAGTTACCCCAACAAATCCTCCAAATACCTCTGAGCATGGGGAAGGTAGCTGCCCACTAGGTCTGGGGTTGGGTGGAGTGTGGCAGGCATGCTTTCCACCAAACCCAATCAAAGCACACCCATTCCCAATCTCATTCCACATCCATACAAACTGGACCCTTATCACAAAGCAAAGCTCAGACTGCTAATTTCAAAAGAAAAGCTGCTCCATCTTCCTCTGCATGACAATCAATCTCACTCCTGCTGCCCAGAGCCTCCAACAGGTCCATTCTCCCAGCTCAATGACTTCTTCCTTCAGGGCTGGTGCTCACCAACCCAGTGAAAAGAAAATCAGAGGTTGTTGAGTCTTAGACTCTCTCTTCCTCTCTCCTCTCCACATTCTCCCCTACTCTCTCTCTGCAGGGACTTCTCATCTCCCATGCAGAAAGCCTAGACAACAAAGTCCCACCCCAGCTCTCACTGAATACACAGGAAAATGCTGGAAATCTCTTCTCTGTTACTGCAGCTATGCAGGATGATAGTTTCCTTATGTATTTGCCAGATGGTGGAATGTGCATTCCTTGAAATCAGTAAAATTTTTTCTTTTGGTTCACAGAAGGAGAGCTTCCCCTCCCCCACTGAACCTTCACATACCTGACAGTGGCACAGTTTCTTTCTAAAAAAATGCTCCACCATGCCTGGTGTTTTTGAGAACTTGCCTATCAATTCAGGAAAGCTATTTGCAAAATAAAAGAAACCATATGAACTGCCTGAAGCAAAACTGTCTTATTTGTTGCTTTTATTTTTCCATTCATGCTTTCATATCCAACATTCAAACTTTGTAAAAACACATGGTGTATAAAGGAAATGCTTTAGAATTTTGCTAAAATTCAACTAATATAATAAAACTATTAAGAAATAATTGGGCTTTAATCAATGAATCCTACAAGTCTATGAAATAGTGTCACTATTCAAAAAAAAAAAGGTTTGAGATACATTTTACAATCTAAGAATCTGTTTAACTATAAATAGAAACACAGCAAGTCCTGGTGTGAGAGGCACTTTAATGATGGGTGGTCTGGAGTCAGAGTGCATATATTACAGCTCACCACATATTAGCCCTATGACCTTAACAAAGTTCTTTAACCACACAGCACTTCAGTTACCTCACCTGTAAAATAAGGATGATAATAAAAGAATGTATATGTACATCTCTGTGTCTATCTCCATGTGTGTGACAGATTTACAAATATATCTTTTGGAGTTGTTATAAAGACTGAATATGTTAATCTGTGTAAACATAATTAAGAGTTTATATAAGGGGAAATCAGAAAAGAAGGAAAGTAGATAAAAATAAAAAAGGGTAGAAGAAGGTAGATGAAAAAGGAAAACCAAACTACAGAAAAAACATACATAAGAAACACTCAAAATCACAGACTATAACATCTCAAAAAAGAATCCACTAAATTATGCATTTCCCAGCAATCTGTTTATTTAAAAATACCATTATAGACCACAGTACAGAAATAGAATACTGTAAATACCAAATAAAAAGTCACTACTTATCTTTCTTTCCTACCTATTAAAAAAGGTATAATTAGAGTAGAATATTTGAAACTATAAAGAAATATTATATCCTAAAGAGAATTATAACTTTACCTGCACAGAAAAATACTTAATTTCATCAAACCGAACTGCAGTGCTCTTTTCACTACTTCTAAGCAGTAAGATACGACGCTTTGTAGATTTCATAATGTTGTTTACAGAGATGCGAATGAACAAATCGATGAAAGGTTGTGAAGTGACTGAAAATAGAATGTTTAGGAAATAAATTTTTGTTGTAATTGAACAAATACACATTATAAAATTAATTCATTATAGAATTCAGGCTAAGTCCTAAAAAAAATAAATCAACCAAGTAAACAAGGTAATTGTAAAGTATATTTAAAAAGAGAAAAGAAATCTTAAAATAATATTTTGCCCATCACTGATAGATACAATATGATATACATCATAATTTCTTTGCAAAATTTTCTACATATTAACTTCCAGGTATATGTAATATATATAACAACATAATTATGTAGAAAAATTATATAGTCAGAAAATTGTCACTTGGGAAGAATTATTTTAATTTTAAGGCAACAGAATTTGGAGCAAAGTGTTCTACTGTCCAGTTCACCTTACTATACACTCTGTTTATACTGTATTGATCTGTTTTATTATCTTTCATAGTACTCCAGGCTTTAAAACAATTTTTTTTCATGATTTAATTATCTTTTACAAATCTCCACACAAAATGTTTTTAAAACTTCTCTTTATATAAAAAGAAACATCAAAGTCTCCATAATGAATGGTTTTATGTCATAAGTCTAAAAATAAGCATTCAGTTTATTTAAGGGACTGGTATAAAATAAATCCTTTAAAAATATTTGAGGGAAGCATATATACTACTTTCAAACAAATTAGTATTACATCCTAAATAATATCTTTTCCTTTAACTTGCATGATGATTGGAATAGATTACAGATGTTCAAAATTCTTTTGTCACTTCCACATAAAAAGTGGAGTTTACCTTCTCTGTCCTTGAATCTGAGCTGGCCTTATGATTACTGTTTGCAATGGACATGACTAGGACTGGGACTAAAATGGCATTCACCTAGGGTGTAAAATTAATAGAATACTAAAATCTTAGTAATCAAGATAAAAAATATTAACATTTTAAAATCAAAATTAGTACAGGAAAAAAATAAGCATGATGGACCACACAGAAAGAATGAAAGTTTTTCTTGGATATAATACTAATTTGTAAGTAATACATATGCTTCCTTTAAATATTTTTAAAAGATTTATTTTATATCAGTCCCTTAAATAAACTGAATGCTTATTTTTAAACTTATGGCATAAAACCACTCATTATGGAGACTTGGTGTTTCTTTTTATATAAAGAGAAGTTTTGAAAAATTCAACTAATACAGTTCAGTATACTTGAAAAGCTCAGTAAAACACTGACTTATGTATACCTGACATATGCAAAACTCAAGCACCACACACAMAAAAAAGTACATGAGACTTCCAACAATTTCAGCAACCCAACTAAGCCTAACCTTCCAGTCATCCTCACTAAAGCACCATCATGCGAACATGGTACTTGAGATATCACAGCCCTTTTGAACTGCCAGGTAACTACAGCTACCCAAGCTATGCTACTATGAAGCAGAGGTACCATCAAGTGGATGCACAGATAATTATTGACAATAAAACTGCTAAAGTCTTATAGCCCTAAAAGCGTTGGAGAGGTTTGGAATGCAGCAGTGGATAACTAAAACAATGAGATATAATCATACTATGAGTTTTAAACCCAAAGAAAGGATACTCCTCTGTGCAAAATTTCTGCAGTTCTTTACATGAACAGCCAGGCAGCCAACCTACAACCATCAAAGCAAAAACACAGATAGTAAATGCATGTTTTACAAAGTTAACTTATCTTCCACTTCACACTGAACTATATTTAAAATTTTAAGAATGAAGTTCACTTTATTATTTTTTTCTCATTAGAAATATTACTTCTCATTTAAAATATCTAGTTAATGGAAAGCATTAGAAAGAAGCAGAGAGGGAAAAAAAAAGTGAGCAGGAYTATGTTCCCAATAAACTTACAGGAACAAGAACACAAAGCAAAGGAATATTTCATTATAAACTTAAATCTAATCATCATTCTTTGAATTGTTTTTATTTTATATTAGGTGAAAATGATAAAATACAGCATACTGCACATTAAAAATAAGAAATATACTTTGTTTTGAATAAGCTCTTTTACTCAGTATCCTAAAACCACTTAATTCATTCAACAATCATTCATTGCCTACAACACACCAGAGATTAAGAAATAGTCATTCTCACTTTAAAAGATTTTTCTAAATGTTAAAGAAAATTGTGCTTTGTGCTTTAACCATAAATCAAATATAAAATGAATATAGGAAACTTTAATTCTAATATTTACTATTAAAGTATATTTAACCATGTTTAGTATCAGAAAACAATTAAATTAGAAGAAATATTATATTAAAGGTTGTATATGACAGGAAATAAAGAAGAGGGACAAGGGAAATTCTTATACCCAGTAACTTCTCTAATAGTGCTATAAAAGAATAAAGGTATTCATTATTCTTGTAAAGGAATGCCATGATATTTCACAGTTCCAAATATGCATAGATTCTCATGTCCTATACTCAAAACCACCCAAAACAGAATGATAGACTTTTCTGATTTTCTGCCTCAATAACAGACCCAGTGTATGTATGTCTGATGACTATGTTGGCTTTTGTTTCTGTGGGAACTTTTTGGACAGGAAAGGGGTGTGGGGTCAATTTCAAAATAAAAGTCAATCTGGCAATAAATATATAAATCAATAGAAAAGCTCAGTAAAACACTGATTCCCAGGCCCATCTTCTGGAGGAGATTCCAACTTAGCAGATCTTAAGATGATGCCCAAATCAATGATTTGAAAAAGTATCCCGGGTAATTCTGATACAACTGGATTTGGGAATCTTAAGTATAAAAATCACTGTTTCTGGGGCTGGGGTTGTGGCTCAGTGGTAGAGCACTTGCCTAGCACATGCAAGGCCCTGGGTTTGATCCTCAGCACCACATAAAAGTAAGTAAACAAAATAAATGTATTTTGTACAAATAAAAATAAATATTAAAAAAATCACTGTTTCTGTGAAATCAGGATGATTTCCATAATTTCAGAAACTATTATAATGTTTCTCTGACTCATAAAAAGAATAATTTCATGAGTATGTTTTCAGAGAATATCATTTTATGCACATACTCTTTGATTACCAAATTATAAACATCAATGATGCTTTATATCCAATCATAAATAATTTACACTGGGTTTTTGAGGGTTAATCATACATACCACATCCCCAAATGGCACCAAAGATGGTAGCTCAGATGGTGCTATTTCCAGTTCTTCACTCTCAGACCCTTGAAGAGTTTTTCTCAACATCTACCATGTAAATAAACAAAGGGTTTAGAAGAAAAAGAATACAACAAGATAAAAGATTAATTCAGTAATTATCTCAAGAGTATCCAGTAAGTAGCAGGTAGTCTAAGCAGTGAGATACTAATATACCTAAGAAACTCACTCCCATCCTCAATAAATTTATCAATAAGTAATCACGGAAATAAAAACGTACACAATTAAATATAAAATCAATAAGGGAATCATGAAAAAGGAGAAAAGTGCATATTAGTATAAGCATGACCTAATCAGTTTGTCAAAAGACTGAACATACAGTAAGACCTATTGAAAACTATAAAAAAAAAAAAGAGTTCCAATTGGTCCTAGAATGGGAATCACCTGAATCTGAATTTCTACTCAAATATAAGTATGTYAAAACAAGGAATACAAATGAGACCACACAAGGCTTATGCTTCCAACATTATTTGAAAAAAGCATGTCACAAACTTCAAATTTCCTAAAGGAGAGGAATAAATACAAATCCCAACAGAGCTCTCCCTGAAATTCCTGCCACAACCTATGGGGACAGAGATAAAGAGAAGAAAACTCTTAAAAGAATCTGTGGGAAAGAGCAGAGAGAAGTGGAAACCATAAAGAAAGAACAGACACAATTATCCTGAGAAAGAGAAAGTTCAAAACTAAGTAAAAATTCTGACCGGGGGTCTAGGATTTGGAGGTATAGCAACAGCTATAGAGAAGAGAAGTGAAAGAGAAGGATTACAGGTGGCTTTCTCTGGAAAGCACTACTTCTGGGCTGAGGAAGAAAGAGGTGTCCCTTRAATACATCTAGTAATGAGAAAGAAGGATGTGACAAGGGGAAATTAAGAATAACAAAATAACAAGGAACCATAGGCCACTGTATTCAACCTATCCCCTCACTTCTCATCATCTACAAGTTCATCTTTTTTTTTAACTGCACCTAAATGCATGCATAGCCCCCCTACACACACACACACACACACACACACACACACACACACACACACATATACACGGCACACGTGAAGTAATTAGAAATAAGAAAACCCAGACAAACTCTATTAAAAGCTCTTATTAAAAGAAATGGGGGTGGGGGGTGACTGACAAAAATTCTGCCCTCCAAAAACAACACAAAATAGAAGTAAATTATAGCACAAATTTTCAAACTGAATTAAAGATCTTCAAACAAGCATTTGGAGATATTTTTTAATGCCTACATTCACAATTTCAACAATGTCTGAAAAGAAAAAAAATGAGTATGTATCAACTCAAGAAATAAATTTTCTAAAAAAGAAAAACCATCTTAGAAATAAAGACAAGGTGCCCAAGATAGCATGGTTTCAAATGAAACTTGATACAGGGCACTGGAAAAGATAGGAAAACAATGAAGAGAATGAAAATGATACAGAGAAATAAGTATAAAAGATCAAGGAACAAAAATTAAAACATTTTGCAAAGTACCAAAGAAAATTTTAAAGAAAAATGATAATCACAACATATGAAAAAGACATAGGAAGTATGACATGACATATTGAAACCAAACATTATCAGTTACATCAATTATATACTAAAGGAAAAGGATATTTAAATGGGCTCAAGGATTCACAAAACTCAAGTCTATGCATAAATATTATTGGGTAACCAACCATTCCAGTTTGCCCAGAACTGAGGTCTAGGACTCTGGACTTTCAGATAGGATAGTTTAGCAAGACAGTCACTCTATTAATATGAGAGATATACCTAAAACAGTGATTCAAAAAGGCAAGTGTAAAGGGACAGGTACAAATACACTAAATAAAAAGAAAACAATAAGAAAGCAGAGATCTAGACCATGACATGAGACAGTAGAATTCAGGCAAAACATCTACTGCACAAGACAAATGAGAACACTTTTTAACGCCAAAAGACATAATCAGAAATAAAGATTTAAAAGTTATACCATTTTCCCTGAGTATGCACTGCTAAAATGTGAAATCACATCACAAAGTTTTTCATTACAGTATTATTTGCAACAGCAAAATGTTGCAAACTACCTAACAGCCAAAATAGGACACTGGTTGAATAAACTATAACATATACTTAAAACAATAAGGAAGACTGCTATGAAATAACAGTGATTTACACTACTATTAAATGACAAAAGCAAAACATATTTTGTATTACAGGGAAAAAATAAAGTACACATCTGAAGTCATATAGGAAGAATAAATCATAAACAGGTTACCAAAATTGGAAAGAAGGTAGGGTGAAGTGGAGAGAATGAGCTGAAAGGGAAAGTGATAATTTCCTAAGTATATTATTTAGTGGTTTTTACTTTTTGAAAGTGTGTTAATGTCCTATATACCAAAAATAAAATCTATAGATTGCTTTGGGTAATACAACCATTTAAACATTAATTCTTCTAATCCATGGAAATACCTTTCCATTTACTTGTATTCACTTCAATTTCTTTTATCAGTGTTTTGTTGTTTTCAGGGTAGAAATATTTCACTTCCTTGGATGAATTTATTCACATATATTTTGTTTTTTATAGCTAGTACAAATGCAACATTTCAGATAGTTTGCTATTAATGTATAAAACACTACAGATTTTTGTAGTTACTCCAGTTTCAGATTCAAGCAGTAGGAATATTCCTTCTCAGTAAGGTGAGAGTTTCTAAGAGAATTCACTAAAATTCAACATCTGACAGTAAAATCATAATAGAGATATAGAAATTCAAAAGCTTTAGCCAGAGAACAAGAAATATATTTGAGATGCATCAGCTTTGTTCCTTGCAGAGAAGAGGGATAACTGAGGTAGAAAGAGAAAAAAGCACTGTGAATAAATTTGGCGTGGGAGAACCTGTGGAGTAAAAGTGGCTATCTTAACCAACCCAGAGGTGGTGAGGGCAAGCTCAAAATCTCTCTGCAGGCAAGTGGAAAGTTGAAGTAGAAGTAATTTGCAGGTGGCCATGTGGCAGTTTTCAGTGACAGGAGCTCATAAGTTCATAAAAAGCACTGCCAGTCTGCCATGGGAACCAGAAATAGGCACAGACAGGATTGTGTCCCTGGAGATTCAGGCTGGGGACAGTGGGAGGAGAGAGGCTTGCTTTACCTTTGTTTCTGGTGTTTCATGTGACCAGGTTGGGAAAGGCCAGAAACTGATCAGATAGATATGTCTGAACTCCATGTCTAATCCTGGTAAATCCACATCCATGGCAGTGAAATACATGGAGAGGATTCTATAAGTGAAGTTTTCAGGATGTCCCTGAGACCCAGACACCCAGCAGAGATTGGCACAGCAACAGGAGTCCATACTAATCTAATACCTAATCTCTCTGGAATAAATACCTCCTAATGAACTTAAAAGAACAGTCAGAACTAAACCCAGCTGCTGGAAGTTTCCATTTAGAACTCTGCATCAGCCCTGTGACAGCATGGACCTTCCCATCCAGACAAAACTCCAACTGTCAGTACTCCCCAACCTGTACTACCCTACACCATAAGATAGGAAGCAGAGAGCTACTACAACATATGCCAGTTCCAGGCCACACAGCCTGGCATCTTGGTGAGAAACATAAAGAGGTCAGTCCTTGATCCAAGGGATTCATAGCCCTCGAAGAAATGCACAGAAGGATGAAACAGCATAGGCAGTGACATGCATCCTTGCAAAACAGTTTTTAACCATCTCAGTGCAGACAAGCCCTTCATTTTTCATTGAGAGTTTTTTCTCTAGGTTTTTCTCCATCTCTGTCTCTTTTACTTGTTTTTTTTTACTCTGTTTTATTCTGTGTGTTATCACTGCACTAATCTGTTTGATAATTTTTCTTTCACTTTAATCATATTTTAATTACCTCTTTATTATTTAGCCTTTTTTTTAACTTTGGAAGGGCAGATTCTTTGTGGGTTCGTCTTGGTTTGATTTTTTGTTTATCTGTTTTTGTTCTTCTCATTATGTCCTCCTCACTTTCTTTCTCCTCTAATAGCCAAATTCTTTTGTTTCCTCTTCCTCTTTATATTATTATTTTGAGTTATTTTCATTCTTCATTCTTTGTAGCATTATCTGTAATTGTTCCGTTGCTTCCTCTCTGTTCACTTTTTAAATATTTTTAAACTTTCTCATGCCTGCCTACTTCATTTTCTCTTCACTTAAGTAACTGTAACTTTACTGTCTGTCAGCTATTCTACAAACTAACTGTCTGTAGAATTCTTGCCCCCACCATTCATGCTGTTGTAATTATTAGTATGATGGAGGATACAGTTTACAGCTGTTGTTAAAGGAGAAAATGTAGTTCACAGGTATTTGTTACTGATACTGATGTTAAATGCTGACAACACCATTCCTTTCAATGTGGCAATCAGTGTTATAGACATCAAAGTAGGCACCAGACATTTATTTTAAGGCTGTGTATTAGTCATTACCGTTATTGCTACTGCTTGCCCCTCCTTTTTCTAAAAGGGTCTGAGCAGTGACTGAGAAATTACAAGTTCCCAGGGTAGAGATCCTACTGCAGAGCTACAACTCAGCCAAATATCAGTGAACCTCACTCCATGCACAAACTAGTCCCATTTGAGATCCAACAATACTTCAACACAAAGAATAGGGGAGATAAAAACTCCAAACCAAAACCAGGTCCCAAGTATAAAGAGCTATAAGAAGACCTCAGTTCCCACTCCTGGATATCTACTCATACAGCAGAAAAAAAAAAAAAAAAAGAAGTCACAAAGTTGAGGTAGAAGTAATTTGCAGGTGGCAAATAGCTTAGAAAAACCCAGAGGATTGCAGAAGCTCTCTAAGAATAAATTAAATCAGTTGTTCAACAGCAGAAAACTTAGTGGCACTGGAGAATAATTGATTTAAACTGAGTAGCATTGGAGACTCAAATTAGTACTCAGATTACATGGAGCTTAGAAGTTAAAGCTAAAAGATACAAAGAACACAGAACTTACCACACACACACACACACACAAAAAAAAACTATACACCTAAAGAAGAGGAATCCATCTCAACAGATGAGCAAATTCAA